TCATAAAAAGATGGGAGTTGCCTTACCAAGTGTGAGGTCAGTCTAAGGAGACAATTCAATTAACAGTAGAATACCAAGGCAGGAAAATTAACATTTGTAGTGGTAATGAGAGTGGGGAGAGTTAGAAGAGGAGGGAGTTTGGTCAGGGAACTCCAGGGGGACAGTTAAGGGTGCACATTTTCGAGCTGGTCAGGATTTTTTTTTGTTTATTTGTTTGTTTGGTTGTTTGTTTTAAATAGGAAAATGTCACAAAACTGAAATTGTCAGGAGCTGATTGATTCTGATAAAACTTTCCTCAGGGCAGGTTTGTCAGGTCCAGCCTGGCATTTCTGCACACAGAGAGAGAGACCCAGCCCAGAATAGCCAGGTGGTCAAGGCATTCACCTGAGTCAGGCAGAGGAGGGACTTGAACATGAGCCTCCCCCTTCTCAGGTGAGCGGCCTGTCCAGCTGGCTGTTGGCTACTCTGGGATGGGCTGCTCTCTCCCCACGCCCTGGTTTGTGCTGAAATCCCTCAAAATGTCTCAGTTCATCCTGATGCAGAACAGGAAACTTTTGAAACCACAGAAACAGTTTCCAGCCCAGCACTAAGGAAGTGAGACTGAGGGAGGTGAATCTGGCGGTAGGGCAGGGAGGGCTTTAGTGGGTGTGTGGGTGGAGGAAGGGCAAGGAGAGGGATAGAGAGGTGGGGGCGTTTTGGCTGGAATTGGGGTCTTTATTGGGGAACGAGGCAAGTTAGAGCTCCAAATCACCCTTCTTCCAAGACTTCAGGTTCCCAGTTCCCCTCAGATTCCCTCTCAGCCAGCGAGATCTGCCAATCCCACTGCTGCTCCTGGCCTCTCTGGAGAGTCTTTCCCACAGATCTGCTCCTACTCTGCTCTCACAATTCCTTCTCCTTGGTTGAGGAGCCTCACAGCTCTCCTCCGTGGGGCGGTGTGTGATTCAAGCAGGCTGCCTCTCTGCCCTCTCTCCTTTAACCTCTCAGTGGGGAAATTGCAATAGTTTTTCTCTTTGCTTTGGGGAAAAGCTGCAGTGATTTACAGAAGGGTGGAGGGGAGCTAATTCCTGTCCCCACTCCATTTGTATCTCACACACAAAGGCACCTTTAATTCAATCAATTTAGTACGTGCTAAGTACACCTTGCCTTGACGTGACTAGAACTTCAGCAGGCACTGGTCAGATCGAGCTAGCTAACGTGCTCTAACACACCTTTAATTCCTAGTCAAGACAGAGCCGATGGGAGGGGAAAGAACAGAACCTCCAACTCGGGGATCCCTAACAAAGAAACCCTTCCTCCCATTCCCAGCTCTGCAATCTCCTGGGCCCTTTCCTGCGCAGAACCAGCAAAAGGGACAGGAAAACAAACACACGTTCCCCAGCAGATGCATTGCTCTTGCACATTACTTCTCTGCACATTTTGATTCCTGTGATAGCACACTCATCTGGAACGTGGTGTGCAGTACTGCTCACCCCTTGTCAAGAGGGAGGTTGAAGACTTCGAGGGGCTTCAGAGAAAGGTGATAGGAATGATCAAGGTTCTGGAAGACTGGACAGGGACTGTTCATCTTACAGAGGTGACTTGATCACTCTACAAAACAAGGAAGGGGATAGAGAACAGTGATCAGGGGTGTCTGTTCTCCCTCTGTCACATCTGTTACTGCGGGGTTCTCACACCTTCCTCTGCAGCATCAGGACACTGGACTGGTAGGACCTAGGCTTTGATCCTGTCTGGCCATTTCTGTGTTCCTAGAGCTTGGCATCTGTTGGTTGGCATCTGTTTGAGTGATTGCATGTGCCCATACCACAACAGGTATGTGTGCGCCCAATGCAGTTTTTGCTGAAGACTTTTTTTCCCCTCACTGGTACCCATCGGGGTGGCACGAATGCCCTCTGCTGCCTCACACAACTATGTGCAGGTATAAAGGGCAGTATTGGTCGAGGGTCTGAACGTCCTCCCCCTTCAGACAGCACCATCTACAGACGCTACCCTACTATTTGGCCATTGACTATGTCCATTCTATTCTGCATGGACATCAGTCACGATGGACCGTTGGGTCTTACAGGTCCATACAATTGGGCTATGCTATCCCCTTCCGCTCCTCCCCACCTACCTTACCCCCCACCCCGTCCCTCTTCAGGGGCCCTTCTCACTAGCATCTGCTGTGAAAGGAAGTGAACCAGCTTCTCCAGCTTGGTGCTGTGGAATCTGTACCTCTGCAACACAGGGGGAAAGGTTTCCATTCCCACTACTTTCTGACCCAGAAGAAAAATGGAGGATAATGTCCCATTCTCGACCTCAGGAAACACAACAAATTTGTCCGATCCCAGAGGTTCAAGATGGTCACTCTAGGCACGATTTTTCTGGCGCTGGAACAGGCGGACTGATTTTCAGCCCTCGACCTACAAGACTAAACTGGGAGGAGTGGTAGATATGCTGGAGGGTAGGGGTAGGATACAGAGGGATCTAGACAAATTAGAGGATTGGGCCAAAAGAAATCTGATGAGGTTCAACAAGGACAAGTGCAGAGTCCTGCACTTAGGACGGAAGAATCCCATGCACTGCTACAGACTAGGGACCGAGTCACTAGGCAGCAGTTCTGCAGAAAAGGACCTAGGGGTTACAGTGGACGAGAAGCTGGATATGAGTCGACAGTGTGTCCTTGTTGCCAAGAAGGCTAACGGCATTTTGGGCTGTATAAGTAGGGGCATTGCCAGCAGATCGAGGGACGTGATCGTTCCCCTCTATTCGACATTGGTGAGGCCTCATTTGGAGTACTGTGTCCAGTTTTGGGCCCCACACTACAAGAAGAATGTGGAAAAATTGGAAAGAGTCTAGTGGAGGGCAACAAAAATGATTAGGGGGCTGGAACACATGACTTATGAGGAGAGGCTGAGGGAACTGGGATTGTTTAGTCTGCAGAAGAGAAGAGTGAGGGGGGATTTGATAGCTGCTTTCAACTACCTGAAAGGGGGTTCCAAAGAGGATGGATCTATGTGGTCAGGAGCTGGGGGAGTGACGGTGACTCCTCAATGCATAATCCATCCCCAAACCCTGCTCAGGTCTCTAGCTAAACAGCAGCAAAAGCAACCAAAAAAAGGTGAGGGTGGGGATGGTCCAGGAACCAGAGGAGTCATGTTTGCACTGGAAACTGGATTGGGGCACACAGAGAAACAAGGATCCACAGGGGACTTCCCTCACTCCTGAAAGACCCCTGTCAGAGAGTGCGGGGGGAGTCAGGGCCTTGCACCCTCACTTCCTGCGATTCACTGTGACTGTCAGCCAGACAGTACAACAGAAGGTTTATTAGATGACAGGAACACAGTCCCAAGCAGGGCTTGTAGGTACAACCAGGATCCCTCAGCCAGGTCCCTCTGGGGGGCAAGGATCTTAGACTCCTGACTTGGGGTTCCCTGCGTCTTCCCAGCCAGCCCAAAACTGAAACCAAAACCCCTCCAGCAGGCTCTCTCCCGCTCCTTCTCTCCCCTCTGCCTTTGTCCAGTTTCCAGGGCAAAGGTGTCGCCTCGCCCCACCCCCTTCCTGGCTCAGGTTACAGGCTCAGGTACCCTTCCTCAATTAAAGTCATCCCCTGCTCTCCCATCCCCCATGCAGACAGTCCCAGTAAAACTAGACGACATTCCCAGGTCAATCCGCCCCGCTCCCTACTGCATCACAACCCCATTAAAAGTGTGCATGTCTGCCTAATTCTGTGTGTGTTTGTGTGTATATGTGTCTCCTCTCTGCTTTGTGCTCACCCACCAGGAGGAGGTAGTGCTGCAGCCTCTGGTCTTCCTCCTCCCCTGCAGGATCTGATCCCTGCCACATCCCAAGAGCCAGCACCAGCAGTGGGGGGAGGGGAACAGACAATGGTTTGGTCCAGGTGAGCATTAAGTGGGGATTCACTACAGGAGGAGGACGCTTTATTGGAAAAATTCTTTTAATTGTTTCCTCCCCAGCCACAGAGGAGGCAGAGTTGGGGGGAAGGGGTGATAAGTTGGGAGGACGTGACTACCCCACCCATCGCCCTGTGCCACGTAACACACGTTCCCTAAAATCATTACTTCAGGATTTATTTTTAATGACTCCTCAGAGAAACATTATTTCGAGTGGCAGCAAAAGCAGCTGAAGCAGCTTCGCTACGTGAGAATACCTCTCCTGCCTAGGAAAAACACACTGAACGATGAGCAATACCAGACGATCAGAGCTGAGAAAACCAGCCAGGAGAAGATGCGGAAGCTGTACGAGCTGGTGCCGGGCTGGAACAAATGGCAGAAGGACCGGCTCTACCAGGCACTGAAGAGAACAAACAGAGACCTGGTTGAAGAGCTGAAGGGTAAATAAATGACATCAGGGAAATCCGCTCCCCCTGCTACTCATCATGAACCATGATCCATGCCAAAGGGAACATTAGATTACCTCTGTGGCTGTTTATCCCTCGCCCATCACTGCAGCATCAGAGCTGGGCACGGATTATTACGCCACCCCCACGACACTGTATAATGTGCAGTGAGCCTGTGGGAGCGTTTGCCCCCTGGGATGAGATTATTTGGTGCTGTCGGGTCCATTCCAGACAGAGCCGGCTTTGGTTGCGCAGAGCTGGGCTGCACATTCCCCTATTGGCTGGGGCTCAGTTCCGCTCCCCTTCCCATCCATAGGAGCTACACACCCACTCCTGATGGGGGGATTGGGTCCCCGGGGGTTGCTTTGGCTTGTTATGTAGGTTGGGGTATTTGTAACATTCAATCATATTCTAACCCCTCCAGAATATGGGAGGGGGTGAAGTTTGGCCCAGGCCAAAACCCCAGATCCAATCTCTTTACCCAAAGAGGGCAGGGATGTGAATTAAATCGGGCAGTGTTGGGTGGTGTCTAGAGTAAGTGATGGGGTTGCATTTACCTTCCCCCTGAGACCGCCTACCTTCTTTGTTGGATAAGTGACATTTGCCCCCATCCCTGCTCATGTCTCTTTCAGTGTCTGGATTCCTTGTGGAGAAGAAGCAGGTGAGGGGAGAGAAGGAACTCCTGGTCCCAGAGAGAGGGGCAGGGCCTGCCCAGGGGTGGGGAATCACTGAATCACTCTGTGTGTGACCCTGGGGGACAATTCACCCTGGGAGAGGTTTTCAGGGGCAGGGAAGCCCTGCATGCCCCCCACTACTCTGTGGAGCACTAAAATCAGCAATTGCCATTTATTTGAATTAAATGTCTCTCTCCAGGGGGACACTTTGTTGACTGGCACCGGGAGCAGCTGATCCAGCGAGTCTCAGAAGTGGACGGAGTCCTGAAGCTACTTCGTGGGCACACGCTAACCCCTGAGCAATACCAGAGCATCAGCACCGGGAGATCCAACGTGGAGAAAATGCAGAAGCTGTACGAGCTGGTGCCGAGCTGGGGGAGGGAGCACAAGGACTGGCTCTACCGGGTACTGTGGATAACAAACAGAGCCCTTGTTGATGAGTTTGCAGGTAGATAACTATAATATCTTTCCTCAGGGCAGAGTTTTCAAACTGGGGCACATCTCCCCCTTGGGAGGGTGTGAAGGAACATTTGGGGCATGAGTGGCAATTCCAGGTGGCTAATGCCAGTCCCACACTGACTCACCTCAGCGGGGACACCCAGCCTGTAGGTTAGTGTCAACATCCGCCATGACTGCACCGATTTCTGCTCCCGGCAGCCTTCCCATCCAGCACTGGCCACCCTGAGAACCCAGTGGGGGAGGAGCAGACATTGACCCTGCCATAGCAGCTGCAGTTACCTTCTCTACTGGGGAGCCCACCAGGGACTCGGCAAGTGGAAAGCGGCACCACAGGTCTAGTTACACCAGAGCCCCTTGCCGACCCCGGCCCTTCACCATAGATCCAGGGCACAGAGCCCTGTCCTCTGCTGGAAAGAGCCTGTGCAGGGTAAGCAGATGGGGCTGCGCTCAAGGGCCGGGGACAGCAGGGAACTCTGTTCCCCAGGGGTCGGTGCTCAGTGAGTGCAGCTGTCTGCTCCCCTCCTGACCCTGGCCTTTCAGCTCAGCCCTGTTTGTTTCCCATGAACACAGTGGTGGGTGGGGGACAGGCAGGGATACGGGGCCAC